GGAGAGATGGCTCAGAGGTTGAGGCACTGACTGCTCTTGCAGAAGACTCAGGTTTGATTCGCAGCACCCACGTGGTGGCTAAAAACCGTCCTTAACTCTAGTTCCAGGGGAATCTGAAGCTCTCTTCTGATCTCCACAGCATTGTACAACATGGGTGCACTTATATACATGCAGGCAATATACTCATCTCATGCACATAAAAATAATAAATATTTTTTAAAAAAACCTTCCTGGAACTTTCTGTTATTAGAAATGTTCTACATCTTTTTTGGGAGGAGGACTAGGGAGTTTGTTGGGGCTTTTATTGGTCTTTTTGAGACAGGAGTAGCTCCAGCTAACTTGGAACTCACTATGTAGACCAGGCTGGCCTTGAACTCACAGAGATCCACCTGTCTCTGCCTCCCAAGTGCTGGGATTAAAGGCGTGCACCACCACACCTGGGGAAACTGGGGAGTTTGAAACAAGGTCTCAGTATGTAGCCCTGGCTAGCCTAGAACCTGCTGTGTAGACGAGGCTGGCCTCAATCTCACAGAGATCCACCTGCCTCTGCCTCCCAAATACTGGGATTAAAGGTGTGCACCAGCATGCCCAGCATGTTCTATATCTTGGTTGGGTTGTGGGCTATACAGGGGTACCCTACCTGTACCCTCAGGATCTCCATATTTTACCATGTGAGTTAACTATGGCTCAATAAAGAGTTGTTTAACATGTGTGTGTGTGTGTGTGTGTGTGTGTGTGTGTGTGTGTACACGTAAACATGCGGAAGTCAAAGGACAACCTAAAGAAACTAGTTCTCTCCTTCCACTATGTGGGTCCTGGGGATTGAACTCAGGAATGTAGTCAAGTTTAGCAGCAAGTACATTTACCCACTGAACCTTCTCCCAGCCCTGCAATAAGAGTTTTTAGACCATTCTGCATATTTTAGGCAGTGACCTGTTGCAGCACTGGGCAACTGAGGCAGGAGGATCACAAAGGCCAATGCAACACACTGAGATGGCAATGTCCTTCAAATAAAAATTTTCATCAATAATTCATGGGAGACTTGAGTTTTACAAGACCCTAAAGCCAAAGGAATGTCCCTGCCCCAACGCTAGACTCACCTTCCTCCTCCCATCTCACAAAGGCCTGCATCTCAAATCTGTCCTCAGACTGGAAATGTTCCAAGGTAAGAAATTCCACTCACCTCAACTGACTGTGAAGGCATCTTCAGTCTGGTGAGCTTGGCTTTGGCAGGCACTTTTAAGTCTATTTTTTCAAAGGTCTGCTGACGATAGTCCTCCGGTGGCGGTTTCAGTTCAGGTGACTCACTTGGAGCCTGATCCTGACCATCCATGGGCCGGACATAGGCTGTGGGCTTCTGCTGCATTGCAACACTTTTTGAGGGGAGAGAAGGGGGTGGAAATGTCTGAGAAGGTGGCTGGGGAGGGGCTACCCCAAGGCTGGTAACTGCCACCAAACTGTCATGAGGAGTCTCTTTAGTGAGAACCTTTGCCACCAGGTCCTTGGGAGATGTGGCTGGGCAGTAGCTTTTATTGCTAGTGCTACTGCTGTGAACCCTGCTGGTTCCTTGCAGCCTGGGAAGAGTTTGCTGGTTGGAATGTACAGGTGACAAGGGGGGCACTGGGGAAGGTAAAGAGGAGATTAAGGGGGAAAGCTTCCTCTCCAGAACTGAATCTGGCATCAAAGCGCAATGGTCTCCATCAGATCTGTGGTCACCTTTTTTGTGATGACTGGAACTGTAACCCCCCTGACTAAGGCGATCTTGGGTCAGGTGCTGGCTGTCTGGCAAGCCATAGTTTTTGACATGAAGACTTGGTGATGGCTCCATTCTTGGTGGTGCCATCTTTGGACTGTGGCTGAATTTACCAACAGGAAGTGATCCAGAGGCAGGAGTGTGAATAGACTGGTGGTGGCCATGTGTGTGGAAAGAGTTGGATGGAATACTGCTCCCCCTGTCAGGAAACAAAGGGTATCTCGGCTTCCCCAGCCTATCTTCAGAAGCATCCAGGCGCTGAGGATGGGACTTGCTGAAGAATTCCTTCATTTCTTCATAGTCACCCAGCATGTTTTGTATTCGACTTGACAGCTCATCACCTTTTGCAGTCTGAAAGAGAGAGAAAAGACAGATTCTGGAAGAAAATCTAAGCAGAACAATCACTTAATAAACTGATACATAACACCATTAAGGAAAACCCTCTCAATTTAATGCATACCATGCAGAGTTTTAACTCATTTCCCCTGTTGAGATGCCCGCCATGGATATACATGACTAATTACAGGAGACTAACATTACAAAACAAAACCACACACTGGTAATTCTGACTAACAATGTTCAAAGAATTTTCAGATTTTGTTTTAAAAACAATCTCTGGGATAAGTTATTGCACAATTGTGACCCTTACTTGAACTTAGTTATATGTAATAATTCTATCATCAAGTTTAATATTGTGATAAACCAGACTTTCACCTTCTCGTACATAGTAAATACCTTGTAGGGCTCTCCGAAAAGGGGAGTCTTTTCAGGAAATGCCTCTTTCTCTTGGTGAACTTCCTGGTTGTGTCTTTCCTTCTCTCTAATTCGAAGCAGGTTTCTGTCTTCATTGTACAAGCTTTTTCAAATGCCACAAGAGAACAAAAACAAAATTTATCAGTATCAAAGTTTTGTTGTGCATATGCACATGTGTGGAAGGATGCAAGACCAGATCCAGGAAGTGATGGCAGAGATATAACATAAAGAGAGCACAAGTGCTGCCAGGCATGGTGGCACACCCCAGGAATCCCATCACTAGGGAGGCAGAGTCAGAAGACTACCCCAAGTTTGAGGCCAGCCTGGTCTACAAAGAAAGTTCTAGAACAGCCAGGGCTATACAATGAAAGACTATGGGGAAGGGGAAAGGAAGAAGGAAGGAGTAGGGGGAGTGGGAGGGGAGGAAGGAGACTACTGAGTCCAAAAGCAAGCAAGGTAAGTCCTTTGCACAGCTCCTAGGCTGAGGCTTCAGCTGGCTATGACCCTCCAGCTTGAATCCTGCCTCCACAAGTTCAAAGTGACAGGGCCAGGACCTTCACCATGGCTCAAGACCAACTTCAAGCTAAATGGTTTTTTACAGGCAGTACAAGATAGAGACAGGAGTAGTATTTTTAGTTTCTTCTCACAAAATACAGGGTAGAGATAGAAGCTTTTCGTCCAAAAGAGGCAGCAGGATGTGAACTTTAAGAATGTTGTTTTCAGGATCAACAGCATACATTTTAAAAGATTAAAATCAAAGCCAGGCATGATGGTGCACACCTTTAATCCAAGCACTCTGGAGGCAGAGGCAGGCAGATCTCTGTGAGTTCAAGGCCAGCCTGGTCTACATAGTGAGTTCCAGGCCAGTTGGGGCTACAGGGAGACCCTGTCTCAAAAAGATACCCCCCCAAAAAAGATTAAAATGAAAAGGCTTATTGCCTAATTAAAAGATCACCAGGCACCCAAAACAGCATTTACTTTCTCAGCCTACTCTGCTGGGACAATCTTGGTATGTAAACTCAAAAAAAAAAAAAAGATTTTATTTCATATTTCAAATGTCAAGAATGAAAAATTCAATTATAGTAGTCAGTTCTATCTACTGAGAATGTCACACAATCCTCACTTGAACCACATAAAAATGTATCCTACATTATTAGCTCTGGCATCAAAGGGGTTAAAATGTTCTCACTTCCAAGCAAATCAGAGAGGGTTTTTGAAAGAATGTCAACTTTAGCTAGCAGAGAAGCAAAAAGTAGGCCTATGCCCCTGTCTGCAACATGGCCTGCTCCCTCCAGACCCTCCTGTGTGATCTACAATGAATAACAGAAATAAAAAACTATAAAAAGACTCTGTCTTTGCAGAGTTGCTTCTGGGAATCTACTAAATCTTCACTTCCAATGCTATTTGAACAAATGAGAAAACATTCACTGGCCTGTGTGTTTTCCTTTCTCAGTTCTAGCCCTGATGCCAGATGCCCCTCCTGCTCTACATGCTTTCATTTCCCTGACAGGAGCCGACTAGTCTCCCTGCTTCTTCCATCTTACTCCTCTAGCTCAGCCTCCCTACAAAAAGACACTAGTCTAGGGCCTGATTCTCATGGTACTGTCCGTATCTAAAATGACAAGCATTTGATGGCTCCTTACCCTACAGAATAAACTCCAAATGCCTGCTTTGGCATTAAAATTCTCAGTCTGGTACAGATGTTCCTCTGTCACCCTGTAGACCTACCACATGCACCCTAGTTGACTATTCTCCATTCCCCAAGCATATACTATAAGGGGAAGGTCCCTTCCTCTCATCCTTACCCAGATCCTCTTTACTGAATGATAAGCATTCTTCCAGATCCAGCTTACATACTGCCATAATAGGAGCACTCTATAAACCAATTCCATTCTCAGCCCACTCCTCAGTAATATCCTATGATTTGATGCTTTCACTCCAAGGCCCTGCTACCTCTCTCTCAACTATATACCCCATCCCCAATTTTCAGCTTCAAGTAGATTAAAGCCTTCCTCAAATCTACCAACTATGTACTTGCCCAACACATCAACTGGCCCTTGCCCCCTTTAGCCTCTCCCCTAGAATAGGAACTCCACTAGAACAAAGCCTTTCACATTCAGGTCTGGTACTAAAATGTGGTGCTTTGCCTAGAATTTCATCATCAAATATTTTTAAATTAAAGCACAGTATTAATTAACACTTGCAGTATTTTTTAATTTCTTATTTTTATTTCATGTATATGAGTTTATTGCCTGTATGCATATAAGTACACCTGTGTCATGCAATGCCTGTGGAGGTCAGAAGAGGGCATTGGATCTCCTGGAACTGGAGTTACGGACAGTTGTTAGTCACCATGTGGGTGCTAGGAATTGAACCCAGGTCCTCTGGAAGAGCAATCAGTGCTCTTAACAGATGAGCCATCTCTTCAAACCTCCCTTGCTTTTTTTTTTTTTTTTTGTCTTTTTTGAGACAGGGTCTCCCTGTAGCCCCAGCTGGCCTGAAACTCACTATGTAGACCACACTGGCCTTGAACTCACAAGAGATCCTCCTGCCTCTCCCTCCCAAGTGCTAGACTTGCAGTATTTTTTATAAACTTCCTTTACAACTTTTTCCTTAGATTCAACCATGGAAGAAATACACAAAAAGAGGGGTTTGTTTGTTTTTTAAATTTATTTTATGTGTGTATTTTATGCATGTATTGCCTGCATGTAGGTAAGTGCCGGCAGAGGTCGGAAGAAGCTGTTGGATCCCCTGGGACTGGAGTTATGGACAGTTGTTAGCTGCTGTGATTCGAACCCAGGTCTTCTGCAAGAACAACCAGCGTTCTTAAATGCTGAGCCATCTCTCCAGGCCCCACAAAAATAGATTTTAAAGATAACATTTCAAATTTATTTTAAAATAAATGATCTGCTATTTCCAAGACTTTTCAACCTGAAGAGGAAGTAATTAACTGCTTAGACCACTAAATCAAAAACTTCAAAAATGACAAATATCACAGTAACTTTGGTTAGCATCCTAAAGAGAAAAAAGTCAAGTATTAATTAAAACACTCTCTAATAAGGTCAGACCAACACATGCCTTCAACAGTTACTGGCTGGCAAGAACACGGTGCACTTGACCACTGAATAATTCCTTTCCATTATTTAATGGTTTTCCTTATTCCTCTTGTTGGTTCAAAAGGCCATACACTAGCATACAACCTCAGAAGTCACACAGAACACTGATCACGAATAGTTTTTTCTTTGCTTAAACTTTTGGGGGGGGGTAGTTTGCAGAGAGAGGGGAGGAGCATGCAACTACTATCTAAACTACTTGAACTCCTTCCTATACATGGGAGGCATGTATACATGACAGGCTGTAGCCAGAAAGGCAGACTGTGTGCAACTGGGACCTTACAAGGGCATCTGCTTGGCACTGTCTTCTATTGAAGGAGTCTCTCCTTTCTGGAACTGCTCCTTAGAGCAGTGCCGTCCCCACAGCTTTACTTCCTCCCGAGTGCCCACAGATTTGGACCACTGTTTCATAAGACAGAGTTCCGCCCACCTTTGAACAACTACCTTTATCTCCAAAGGGGACCTTCAAACAGCAGAATTCTCAGTTTAGGGCTGAAAACTGCAGATGTAGGTGGTAGCACCTCAACTAACTGGCTGTTTTAAGGCCTTGTTTAATTTTCCCATCAATTCTACTCAGTTATCATTAGTCAAAGTTATATTGTTTAAAATGGCTACAACATCCCTACGCAACAGCTCAGCCTTGATCAGCTTTATCTCGGCATCAGTTAGGTTTCACCATTCTCCTAGATTTTTCATTCTGAACTAATAAAAACGACCATAGAAATAACCAGGAAAACCTAACTGGGTCATTCTTTCAAAAAATTCCTACAACTCTAGCCAGGTGTGGTAGTGCACGCCTTTAATCCCAGCACTTGGAAGGCAGAGGCAGGCGGATCTCTGTGAGTTCAAGGCCAGGCTGGTCTACATAGAGAGTTCCAGGGCAGCTGGGGCTACAGGGAGACCCTGTCTCAAAAAGACCAATTAAAAAAAAAAAAATTCCTACAACTCTTAAAACCAAAGGGCCTCCCATAGAAAAGAATCCTATTGATTAACGATTCTGGTTTGTTAAGGCCTTCTTTCATTTGTTTAAAAAATTATTAGAAACTCAGACAAGATTTTATTGGCAGACATATGTAATACTATGTCAATTCTGAGGCAAACTTTTCAATGACTTTAACTCACCATCACTGTTCGATCGAAAAACTTATAAATAATGTGGTGAGTATAGACATCAATAACTGTCACTGTTAGAGGAGTTCTATGAGGTCCAGACTGTGAGACCCACCCATGTTGCCTGGGAGGCACATCCCTCACCCTTGGTCTCTGTCACCAGGGCTCCTGAGCAAGGCAGAGGGCCAAGGAGCAGAAGGTTCACAAAGGTGATAGGGGAGGCTATGAATACTGGTTCTGGGTTTTTCTTCTTGCAGGTAACAGGGGTTGGCCAATTACACTGGGTAGATTTCTGGTGTACTTCACTATTTACTTACTACAAATTTGAAGTAGCTTAGGAAACATTTTTCCAGAAATATTTTTCTCTTGGTTCCACTCTGAAATCAAGGTCAATTTCAAAACAAAGTTGCAAACAATCAACAGCATAAGTTAAACCTTTGCCCACTGTTTTCAAACTAAGCTTTAAAGCAAGGAGAAGGAAGTAGAAGAATTTTTTAAATTCTTATTTATTATGTATGTGCACGTGCATGTCATGGAGTGCATGTGGAGGTCAGAGGACAACTTTTTGGAATCGGTTCTCTCTTTTCCAACTTTATGTGAATTCTAGGAATCAGATTCAGGTCATCAGGCTTGCACTGGCCCTAGTACCATGGGGCATCATCCAGTATTGCCTTTTTCTGATTATTATGTGTATACGTGATAGGGAGTACAGGCACCACAACATACGTGTGGCAGTCAACAGACGACTCTGTTGTTGGTTCTCTTCTTCCACTTTCATGTGGGTTCTGGGGATTGAATTCAGGTTGCCAGGCCTGAGTTGCAAGCACTTTACCTGCTGAGCCATCTTACCAGCCTGGAAGAATTTTTAAATGGGGGAACT